AGGTTTCTCTTTCTCTCTGTTTGCAGAGCAAATGAATAGGTGGATGCACATTCGTGAGCACACCACTGAAGAAATTCTGGACGATCGATTGGCTCGTGGCTACTACCAGTCCTGTACAACTTGACCTGGCCTGAAACATTTGTTTTACTGAACCACATTGCATCTGGCGCGGCACAGCAGTCGTATCGTCGTGACCATGAGGTTTGTTTTCACGTTTTTGTCGTATCCGATCGTCCTGGGACTGAATACATAGCTGTCTACTTCTGTAGTTCTCAGTGTCTCACTGTTATCGTAACTGACTACCTTTAAGTGCTGCGGCAGTCGCTTGTTCGTTCCTATTTGCCGGTTAAACGTGCCCACCATTATTTTGAATGTGCGGTTTACTGTGCTCGATAACTTTATTGGGTCCGTAGTGCTGATGCACCCAGGAATATGGGCTATTCCCCGCGCCGGTAATGCTATGGCTTTTCCTTTCTTGAATGTAGGATTTTGTACCTTGAATAGTCCTCCGAGGTGTCGCACACCTAGCGTGCAAATGTACTGTCATTCAGGTGATTGACTCTGCATGCGGACGTGGTGCAAAAACGCATCAACGGTTCCACTCCTCAAGCTGTGAGCTCCCTGGGCGTTCCACCGATGGTTACCTGGTTTGTAATAACTCGCGGTGCGGAACTAAGCTTGATTGACGAAGTACGTGAGTGGAGTGAAATGGTTTGATGTCTTACCCTTCATGTTGTGGAGGGTTTTCAGCTCTGTTGGGACTAATACTGCGGTTTGGTAAACCGTTTTAAGCAAGACCTAGCTTGTAGCATTACCAGCGTGTGGCGGCTAAATTCCGACTGTTGGATACTCTTTCCGATCACTTCGTCATAAATCAATTGTTCATGTTTGCATTTTAATCTAGTGAGACTGCCAAGGCACCTACGAAGACTCCGGCGAAAACTAAAGCTGATGACAAAAAACCCCGAAAACCGGAGACGAAGTCGCTTAAGGATAAAATCCGAAGCCGCCGAATAGTTTCCGAAGCTGCTAAGAAGATCATACAGAGAAGACGCTACTTGCGTTTGAAAAGAATTATAACTCTGCGAGCAGAAAAGTACCTTCATGTGAGTGTTTTTCCGTGCGAATGTTGACCCTTGCAGGAATACCGTCGGGCGGAGAAACGTGAAGTCAATCAGATCCGCGATGCGAAGAAAGCCGGGAATTTCTATGTTCCTGCTGAACCAAAGCTCGCATTTGTCGTTCGTATTCGTGGTGTTAACGGTATCCATCCGCAGCCGCGAAAAATTATGCAGTTGTTCCGCATTCGACAGATCAACAATGGAATGTTCGTTCGGTTAAACAAGGTAGGTTTCATATGATTCTGTATTCACCTTCAGGCCACGCTAAACATGCTACGGATCATCGATCCGTATGTCACATGGGGTTATCCATCCCTGAAAACAGTCCGCCAGCTCATTTACAAGCGCGGGTTCTGTCGTTATCACGGCCAAAGGTTGCCACTTTCCAATGAACTTATCCAACGCAAACTTGGGTCCTACAATATCCTGTGCGTGGAGGACCTCGTCCACGAAATTTACACCGTCGGACCTCACTTCAAGCAAGCTGCTGCTTTCCTGTGGACTTTCAAGCTTTCCAACCCTACTCGCGGATTCCGTAAGAAGGGACGGCACTTCGTCGAAAGTGGTGACTTTGGCAATCGTGAGAAGTACCTGAATCAGCTATTGCGCCGCATGATTTAACTTTGTACGGCTTGAATATATTTCTCCGAAGTTGGCTCAGCTTTGTTTTGGATATAATTTGAATGCTGATTTCATCTGAAATTTGAATGTCGTACTAGTGGTGCAGTACCGTTTACTTCGTGGTTGTCTGGGTTGCATATCCAAGTTTGAAATTGATGATGCCGCCGTTCGGCACGAGCGCATTCCTTAACCTGGGCTAACGGCTCATTTCGTTAACACTATCTGGTATAGATGGGCAGAGATGACAACACGGTGTATGTACATTCTACTTGGGGATAAGATAACGACCAACTAATTTGGGAGTTGTGGCAGGTGTTTTACCTCGATCGATATCTAACGTCTTGGTGCTCGACTAGGACTTCACCTCAATAATTTTCTGGAGTCCGTACTTACTGCTGTTCGGTTGTTAGCGCCTTCAGATTTTCCTAGTTTTATTTTTGTCATTACACACGTGTGGTGAACAACAGACGGGGTGAGCCCCATAGTCACGTAGACGTGCTGTTCAGTGGTGGAAGCCGACCACCTAAACCCCGGGATTCGGGTGGCGAACCGCTTAAGGCCCCGACAGATTAGACGTGGCGTTGAACCGGACGACAGCAGAGCTGCCTACCACTAAAGTCGGGTCAATACCACATTATGTAGTGTGATATATCTGGGTGTCGCAAACAGCGGCGTTCGTGTATCTCGATTTCTTTGCATCAACCCACTGAACTCTTCAATTTTCTCTTCGATCGTACTTTCAACCTTCCGGTTTTCCTCTTATTGTTCACCGAAATGAGCGGCCAAAAGACAACAACCAAAACCGACGAATTTGCGTGCTCAACGGTTGTCTAAAGTGAAACTGAAGACGCATCTTGTGGTTCGCCGCTCCTGGGGGATTAAGTTGTCGATTTCCATTACTGCACTTCAGATCCTTGAAACTATGTAGTTTCCATTGTTTCCGTTAAATTAAAAAACGAAATCCTTTATTTCACCGTTTCATTTGGCTGCTTTCAAGGTTGTCAAAGGGGATTGTTACATTTCGGCCGAACATTCAATCAGAAATGAGCTCTGGGGCTTGAATAAATAGTTGGGGCTAGAGTTAAATTACTGCACTCACTTAATCGCGTCATCATTTTACACAGTTGCGAAACGTCTTCTGAACATAGCCACATCAGTACTCAGCCCAGAGAAGCGTCCAACTCACCTGGATCCCCGCCTAATGGTGCAGTGTCTGTGCGGTTTAGATTGAATAGTTCATCATCTGGCAGTAAACCGACATCACCGCAGAACGATCTCTACTTCCGAAGCCATGGATTCGAAAGTCTGGGAGAACTAGAGAAATGGGGCGATCCAGGCGAAAGCTGATTTCTGTAGTTAGCCTAGATGTAAAAGAGCTGCAGGCTTGTATTTGGTTTCTGCTACTCTCGAAGACTGCACCCTATTACGTAGTGGTCGTTTGAATCCAAGGTAACCTTAAAATCAATCGGATAGAATTGCTGGGTCTGCACATGGAATGACTTACGGAGTTTGCCGAAAGTGGAAAAAATGATCTACGCTTTCTTTATCCGTTCTTAAACCAGTTCCTTTTTCTCCATTCATGACGGACAGTGGACGGAATAAGTCCGGTGAGAGGATGGGTGTAGTAGATCAATCAACGGGATGCCCTGAGAACAACAAAAGAGATAGGCCGTATCGTAGGCTTTAATCAACTGAATAATGGAGGATGTTGCCACAATAGGAAAGATGGTGGATATAAATGCATA